AGCTTGGCAGACTGGATTGCTGCCAAGGCTTATCTGTGCTGGATTGCTGCCAAGGCTTGTCTGGGCTGGTTGCTGCCAAGGACCTGTCTGTCTGTTAATAAATTCCGTAAAGTATCTTTGGCTCGGAGTGTTTTGGTGTGGGACGAGGGCGGTCAGAACACATAGTAATGTATAATACTGTAAAATTGGGATATAGTTCAAAAATTGTAGGAGAACTTTCATTTGCACTTGTATTGTTTAATTCAAACTTTCATTTGAACTTGTATTGTTTAATTCAAGCATTCATTGGTACTTGTATTGTTTAATTCAAATGTCATCAGCCTAGTATCAAACACAAGCTTTCCTCAACACAGCCTCAATTGCAACAAGATGGCATGCTTAACTCTGAAGGAATAACATTTTATGAATTGACAGACAGAGGAATTGTATCTTACCATTAATCTGATGGACTGCATTGATTAAATTAATGACCATATTTGCACTTCTGCCACTTTCATCCGATATCTCTTGTATCTTTGCATTCACTAAAAGTACAAATTTACAGGAAAGTAATTAAACGGAAATAAAACTTGATAGAACACAACTTTTCCCAATCTGTGTCTATCACAATATGTTGAAACTCCTATACCTATCATATCCTATTGACAGGATCATTGAAGAGTTTCAGTTCCAAGACATCTGGTGGGCATTGGAGAAAGTTAGCCATTGATACTGATGCAGAGAAGAATTCAAATAAAGAAACAATAAGTTTCTAAATCAAACCAAGAAGCTACCGCTGCCCCTAATTAAGGAAGCACAACCAATCAGCGCCAAAACTCATTGTATTTACTAGTTTGTTTGTAATTGCAGAGACAATGAGATTGGCAGAACTGATAGGTGTTTGGCTTTCAGAATAAAGGAGCATCTTCTGAAACAGGTCCAAACAGTCTTGAGTAATCCAACAACATCAGGAAATCATGGCCATAAAATGCCTTCTTCGGCCATTGAGAGACACTTACTAGCTAATGGTCACCAGGTGGACCAAAACTCTGCATTTAAAGTTGCACGCAGGAACTCTTGTTTCCTGTGTTTTGTTGAGGCAGTTGCCATTAACTTTTTGAAGCTCCCCTTGTGCCTGCAGAAACTGCTTTATGTCAACCTCCCATGGGCGTAACTCTTGCCATTGGTTGCTTTCCTGCATACATTATATAGGCTTAATTAATGCTCTTGTTAGATCTTACATTTGAGGCTGATTTTAATTGTGTTATTGTAATATAGGTACTGGTGAATCAATATGAAATGCTTGCATCTACCTCTGTTCATCTTTTGGCTGTATTGTTTAAATAATATTTTCCTTATTTTCCTTATATTCACACATTCATATGGCATACTCAAGAAAAGGTAAGTCTAAAACCATTTTTGCTGTCACTGAAATGTTGATGACAAGTAATTTATGCCTAGAAGAATTTTCCATCTTCCAACTTTCCATTAATGCAAAGATGGATTTCTGGCAGAACTTACTTTCACTCTGGCCAGGAAATCATCTTGCCAAAACCATCTTGTCAAAACAAAATCCAGAATAGCTTCTGACCCAGCACTATCTTTGGGACCAGAAATCCAACAGCATGCACATTCAAAATTGAATCACTGTCGTAATTTGAATCACACTATATGAATCCAAAATAAATGTATAATGAAAAATTAGAGTGATTGTCTCAACTCCCACTCTATAAATTTTAGCAATTATGCAAAACTAAGTAAGCTTAAAGATAAGGTTTTAGCTTCTTTATTTTCAGTGAAAAATTATAAATATGTAAGATTTTATCATTGTTTTATTTGATATATAGATTAAAAATGAATTTTAAAATCATTTTGCCCAACCATAATGTCCATGAATTTGTTAGTTTTATTTAAGTGGAAATCCCAGAGGTTCATTTCTTATTTTTGGATCTTATACAGTAGTACCACAAAGTCTGAGAACTTCTGATTTAGTTACTGAGTAATCTTATTGCTTTCCATACATTTCCTCCCATCCATGGGAAATATTCATGTCTGAATACATGAAAGTTTCACACAACTGCTTTCTAACACAAGAGGTCAGGGGAAGTATTTAGTGGACTGTTGATACTGTTGTGTCCCGCCCCGGTCGCCCCTCCCCTGTCCCCTGATCAATCACCCAAGGCAGATTTCTCACTTTAATGTAGGACCATCCTTGATAGGGAAAGTTGTCAAAAGAGTCCTTCAAGGACAAAAAAACAATAGAGATACAATGAACATCTAGGATCTAGGAACTTAGACTGATGTTGCCAGGAATGACTCAGTTTTCAATCTGGAACAATTCAAAGTAAATCTTATTCATGAAATTCCCTATTAGCAAGCTCATGTATCCACCTTGTATTTCTTTCTCACCAGAATTAAGCCCATATCTGCCTATAAAAGCCACTTACCATTCTTTTTCAGGCCATTGTGATCATCCTCCAGCTTTTTAAGGGTGATATTTAGCGCTGTTTCTGAAAAGAAAAAACATAGTAGATTGCAATTGTTACTTTTAAGACCTCTATATTTCCCTGCACAGGAAGAAATAGGAAATGCTATGGGATTAAGTTATAATGGTTTGATTTAAAATTAAATATCGAGACCACAGTGGAAGCCCACTCCTGTAATAAGCAACCTAACTGTAAATTCTGTTTGAAATTCCCCAGAGCAACTATGCACATGTTTCTCTATGTCCCAAGTTTAAAAATAGGAATTGCTTTTTCTTCTCCCTCCTAGCAATCCTTGAAGAGTACTAGTCTCAGACCTTATCCAATAAGCCAACTTCCTACTCTCACAGAAAAGGAATATCCCTCCCCCCACCATCCTAAGTGGGCAGGAACTTCCATTGACAAATTGCTTTATTAGTTCATTCAATTGGACCATTAATCATTTCCTCCTAATAACAGATAATCAGCCAAGGCATCCAATAGGATAAAGGTAAAGATTCCTGCACACATGTGTGCTTGTTGTTCCTGACTCTAGGGGGTGGTGCTCATCTCTGTTCCAAAGGTGAAGAGCCAGCGCTGGCCAAAGACGTCTCTGTAGTCATGTGGCTGGCATGACTCAATGCCAAAGGCACATGTAACACTGTTACCTTCCCCCCAAAGGTGGTTCCAATTTTTCTACTTCCATTTTTCTTGCTTTCAAACTGCTAGGTTGGCAGAACCTGATATGGGAGCTCACTCTATTACGCAGTGCTAGGGATTTAAACCGCCAAACTGCCGACCATTCTGATCGACAAGCTCAGTGTCTTAGCCACTGAGCCACCGGGTCCCTCATTCCAATAGAATAAAGGAGACCAAAAAAAGGTTAAGATAGCGGTTATATGTCTTTGATTGTATGGGC